TCAGATCCTCTGGAACTGGAGTTACAGACAGTTGTGAGCTGCTATGTAGGTGCTGAGAACTGAACCCGAGTCCTCTGGAAGAGCAGCCACATCCTCTTAACCATTAAGCAATCTTTCTAGCCCTCCCCCCTCAAATAATAATACTTACAAAACAAAAAAACAAACAAACAAACAAACAAACAAACAAAAAAAAAAACCAGCCAGGTGGTGGTGGTGCAAGCTTTTTGTCTCAGCACTTGGGAGACAGGGTTTCTGTGTGTGGTTTTGGCTGTCCCAGACTCGATTTGTAGACCAGACAGAGATCCGCCTGCCCCTGCTGGAATTAGAACCATGCACTACACTGGGTTTTCGACGCTGCTAGGGATCAAATCTAGAAGTTTATGCATTCTAGGCAAGCAACAATTACCAACTGAGCTGTAGTCCCTGGCCCAGAGAATCTTTTAGGGTTGTTTTTTTTTTTTTTTTTTCCGGGTTTTCCCCTGGCTTTCCATAGTTTTTAAGGCAAGCTCACTGCCTTGAGCTTGGACTCAATTTTCTCCTCTTGGCGCTAAGACTCAAGTGGAGGTTTCAGGAGGGTGAGTCATGGTGGTGTCGAGAATGGCTGGCGTGTGTGTGCGCATGTGTGTGTGCACACTAACTAGCCTGTGGTGTTCACACTTGTGGTTAGATAAGCCATGCGCAACCCCACACTTGCCCACGCCTCCATATGCCTGAGAGTCCTGGATTAGCTGGAACAGTGTAGCTCAGCAGGGGACAGCTGGGAAGACTGGGTCAGGCAGGACAGGCCGCAGCAGGCCCAGCATCCCTGGCTGGGGACACATATCAGCCTGGAATCCCAGCAGCCTGGGAGCCCAGAGGCTGTATATCACAGAGGTTTAACCAGCAGCGTGGCACATACTTGTGTGTCCTCTTGAGCCGTGTCCCTGTCCGGTCTGTCATAAATTGCACTGAGATTTCAAAATATCCCTGTCCCCTGGAGCTCTTCCTGGACAGCTAAGAAAGCCTCATTCCTTTGGGGTCTCCACCTGGTCCCTGACACCTGGGCCGCCTCCTCTAACTCTGGCATCTGCGACCTCCTTCCTGTCTCCTGCTGGAGAGTGGAGAAAGAGTTGGAGAAGGCACAAGAGCCATAGGGCCCGCCGTCTAGGGGTGAAAGAGGACTAAATATTGCTGGGGGAACTCCACAGGGCACTGGGAACGTTCTCCCAAAGTAATGGAAGTGACCTCCAGTGTGTCTTTGGTGAGGAGGGTAGTGTTCTGGGGCCCTGGCAGAGCCGAGAGGGGGCAGTTAGAGTGAAGTAAACCTGTTCAGGGTAGACGCCTCTTCTCTTCAAGATAGATGCCCACCATGACCCTTGGAAGCAGTGGTACTGGTACTTCATTGCAGCGGCACCACCCAGCATCAGGGATGGGAGGTTCAAATTCTCAAGCACCTGTGGCTATACAAAGGCCAAACCCACAGCGTATTAGTTTAATACAGAATAACACAAAATTGACGACAGAAATTGTCTCACAGATCTGGGTTCTCAAGGCTGGTTCTTTTAAGGACTGTTATTGTAGAAAATAAAAATGGCCAATGATGTTTATTATTAAATCCTATATATTTATTATGGCAGTCATTATTTAACTCACCACCATATCAATAAAAGACACAGACTCCTGTTGTATTTAAATAAGCCTTGTTTCACCTGGGGCTGGGCAGATAATACCTCCTAATCTAACTTGTTACCCCCTCAGCCCCACATCCCATGCCATTTGCTGTAATCATTCCTAGCCGGGCTACTTCCCAGACGATAGCTCCATGAATACTTGCTCTTGCTTGCCATCTGAGCTGCTTCTTTGCATGCTGTTCCTCCTCCTGGCTCACGTGCCTAGCCCATGGCAACTCTGCTTCCTTCTTCTCTCCTCGGAAGCCAGAGAACTTTGGCCACGCCTACCTCACTTCTGCCCTGCCCAGCTGTGCAGGCATGTATTCAGCCAATCAGGAATAATTTTGGAGGCTAGGTTTACAGACTTCATTTTGGGGTATATGAGTGTCTGCTTGTAGAGAGAGCAAGCAGACCTGGGGGGGCAAAATAATTAACAATCAAATACATAGCACCAGACCATGCTGTAGAGGAGAAATCTGACCCATGTCACTCCCACCCCCAAATGGCAGTAGATGCCTGGTAATCTTTGAGATCCCTCAGCGTGTGGGCGCATTGCCTGATCTTTGTAGCCATTCTCACGTGAATCTGTGATCCGACACCCTTCATAGGCTGGACTCACCCATTGTGGGACCATTCCTAGGGAGACATAAACAAATGTCTATTCACCTTAGACAGGGCACCCATCAAAGACAGACCAAAGACATTATCAGTCCAACCTAGGGTAGCCGAGTGAATCAGGGAAGTTATTGGAGTTACTTATAAAAGTATGAGCAGCTGCATCATTGAGAAAGAGGCCATTCCCCGGCATGGATGATGGCTCAGAAAAACTGCATCCCTAGAGCTCCCTGCAGGCAGCCTCCAGGGATGAGGCTCCTCTCCCCAGGGAGACCCTCCTCTCCCCAGAACTGTCACTGCCCCTACAACTTTGGTGGAAGGCTAGTAAGTCTTGGGAGTTTTAGAAGTTTTCTGAGCCTTGTAATTTTTGTCAGCTAAATCCAATGAGCCGACCCTTTTCCTCCCTCTAGGAGGGAGTGTTTCAGTTTGGAGGAAATAACTATACCCCACCACCCTACACTGGTCTCTATAGTAACCTTAGCTCTAAACAGAATTGCTTCCTAACACATCGTATTTGGGGACAGAGACAGAATTTAACACATAGCCAGTCTCAGAACATACAACATTCATCTGTGACACGGCACGGCGGCACCTACATTGTGACACACACCCATGAATGAGATGGAATCACACTAGCCAACCATAGTGAACAGAGACACTTGCAGTGGCCTAAGACCTCACGACCGACGTGCAGGCCAGAGCTGAGACTGAAATGTGAACTACCACACTCTCCCAGCCACCCACTGTCCCCATATGAGTAGTGACAGACCCATGTCACATGGGCCAGTGTCTACGAAAACAACAAACAGCCGGCGGAGAACATTCAGGGGATGCGCACAGGTTCACGGCCATGGACTCGGGTCATAAATCTTCTCTTCAGATGGACGCTGCCGCTGGATGTGTGTTCCTGTGAGAGTCTTGTAGCACTTGACTGAGCTCATGTGCAGAGCGAGTCTGAGACCAAGGACGCAGGAAATGACCTTGAGGGAGAAGTATTAGCTTTCTCCAGCTGCCATCATAAAACACCGAAAGATGGGGGGGGGGGGGCTTAAGCAACGGAAATGTACTGTGTCATAGTTCTGGAGCTAGAGGCCTGAGCGATCACGGTGTCACAGGGTTGGCAAGTGGCAGTAGCAGCTTCTCTTCTTACTTGCTATATTAATTAATTAATTAATTAATTAATTAATTAATTAATAGACAGGGTCTGATGTACCCTACATTTGTCCTCAAACTCTCTGCGTAGATGAGAATAACCTTGAACTTCTCACCCTTTGGAGCGCTGAGATTATAGGCATGTGCCACCATGCTTGGTCTATGTAGGGCTGGGAACCGAACCAAGGATTCTCCTCATGCTGGGTAAAGCAACAACGCTGTCAGCTGAGCTACGACTCCACCTTCTACTCTTTTTTTCTTTTTTAAGGCAACAGTTTTCCATGTAGCCCAGACTGGCTTCCAGCTCCTGATCCTCCTGCCTAAGCCTCCACTAAAGCTGGGATAACAGGTGTGTGTTACACCCAGGCTCGGGGTTGATTTCTTCTGAAATAGCCTCGTTCAAATTTCTTTGCCTTGTAAAGAAAGGCAGCATTTGGGTTTGCGGCTGACTAACATGATGTCATTTTAACCTAGTTGCCTCTTTAAAGGCCTTTTATCTGGTATCCTTAAGGGTTAGGGCTTCAACATGAAGGGGACAGGGTCACACAGTCATCTGTGACTAGAGTGATGGCTTCAGGCAAGTTTCCTTCAAACCTTGAGGTTGCTTAGTTCTGAGGAGAACAGCTACTGCCCTCAGGAAGTCTCCCAGGGACACTGAGGCAGGAAACGCACCTGTGCATACAGACAGGTGTGTATACGTGCAACACTTGTGTGAAGGCACACATACATTTGCACATGGAGACACATACATATATGTACACACATATACCGTACACACGCACAGACACACCAGGAAGAAAGTGAGTATTACCAGTTCTGTCTGAGAAAGGTTTGGCAGCCAGCTCCAGAGGAGAAACAGAAGCAGGAAAAATGAAAGTCTCAGAGCAATGAATTAAGATGGAAAGATTATCTGAAAAGGGCAACAGTTGCCTGAGAGGAGGATGTGAGAGGCCAGGTTGGGAGGACGGGTTCAGCAGACGCAGGCCTCAACCAAACTGCCAGCTCTGGCCTCGGCTCAGGCGACCAAGACAATAGGGGCATCTCAAGCCATGTGGGTGCAGGGCACAGGCTGGTTGGGTTTCTGGCCAGAGAGAGGGCCGTTGTGTCTCCAGTCAGAGCCACATGCCTGTCTGTCATAGGATTGTCAGCTCCTGCCTCAAGGCTGGGAACAAACAGGACTCTGGCTCTCCAAAACACAACTCCACTGGCCAACTCCACTGGCTCTCCAAAACACAACTCTGCTGCCCATCCCCAGTGCCGCCTTGTCTCCAAGACCCCATCTTCCTCTCTGAGATTTACTCTGAGGTCCTGAGAGCCTGTGTCCCACCGGCCTCCCAGTGTGCACCTGTTTCCTGACGCTCTTCCCAGTGGTCCTGTATTTTGATGCTACTCTGCCTGAAACAGACCCCTCCCGTCATGTTTCCTCTTGCCGTTTTCGGCTGAGGCGTGTCTTTGGAAGTCAGGTGGGGTCAACTGGCCTACCTACCAGCATCTCCAGATTTCAAACCTAGCCTGTGCTCTCTCTGTGTGTGTCCACAACCACTCGGCCATCATGTGTCTGTGTCCTCCTCAATCTGCTCAGGTATGAAGCGGCCGCTGAGCCCGTCCCCCTCAGGAGAGAAGGAGCCCCCCACAACTGCAGCATCTGAGTGCCCCCCTCACTCTCCGGAATCATCGAAGCCGAAGCGGGAAAGGAAACGACCTTCCTACACACTCTGCGACGTCTGCAACATCCAGCTGAACTCCGCGGCCCAGGCCCAGGTGCATTGTGGGGGACGTGCCCACCAGCGGAGGCTTCGGCAACTCAGCCTGGGCAAGACCTCCACGCCAGGTCAGTGTGGAGTGGCGGTGAGCTGAGCTCCCCTTCTAGAAACTGGATCCGTGGGTCTGTGGCTTCCCACTGTGCTATTGTCAGGTCTGGTTTTACAGAGTGGGGGTGCGGCTCGGTGGCATCGCACCTGCCTGGCACGTGGACTGGGTTCGGCACCGCAAAAACCAATGAAAGTTTTACTTTTGCTCCTGGATGGGTTTCTATGGGATCTCTTGGGTTGTGAGAGTCCTGAGGTCTCTTCAGTTCTAGGAGCGCTCCCTGTGGAGGTGTTTGTAATTAGGACATTCAGAACATTTCTCCAGCCTGGAGCAGGGACAGTCTTCCAGACAATGGCTTTACCCGCAGCGTGTTCCAAGCTCCTGCTTTTTCAGGCTGGTGCACAGCACTCCAACCGAGAAGGTCTGTCTTCCTGTGGCAGCTGGACTCTCAGCCAGGATTTCTGCCTCTCCCTGGCTGGGAGTAAGGGGATGGGGGGTGGGGTTGGCTGCCAGTACTGTAGGGGCAGCTGGCTGCAGAGCGCGATGTTCTGGGGGTGGGAAAATGGGTGAACGCTCCTGTGAGGGTGATGGCTGTTGACAGGCACATGGGGGGAGGGTCACGGGCTGGGGGCTGGCGAGGAAGGCAGATCCACACGCAGGCCTGGCAGGGAGCGGCAGATCCGGAGGGTGACTTCAAGAAACCCACCTTGCAGCCCAGCCGGGTGGTTTTGCCCAGAGGCTACCCTGAACCTTGAGAGCTCCTAATCTCAGGGTAACATTTCTACACAGTGGCCCCTTAGCATGATGGGAATTGGAGACACAGCCCCATGGGGCATGAAGTTCTCGGAGGGAGAGTGATGAGCCTGACAGGTGAGGGTCATTTCAGGCAGAGGTCATGTCCACAGCAAGCGACAGAAGGACTCCGGTAGTGGGGGAATTAACTCCTCCAAGGAGGCACTTAGAGCTGGGCTCTCAAGGTTGTGACTGAGCAAATCTGGTGGATGGATGTTTCCGGAGCGTGTAGGACGGTGTGTGTGAGTGTGTGTGTGTGTGTGTGTGTGTGTGTGTGTGTGTTTCAAAAGTCTTTCACCTAAGCTGGGTGAGTGGTGCCCACCTGTAAGCGGGGGGCTGAGGCAGGATGGCTCTAAGTTCAAAGCCAGCCTGGGTTACGTAGCAAGATTGCCCTTTAAAGAGTCACACATTTGTTCATCAAATATATTTATTTAATCTACGAGGTCCAGACTGCTGTTCAGGGGTGCTCACATTTTTTAAGGCTTTCAAATCTGCCAAACAACAACACAAACAAACAGACCAAAAAAAAAAAAAAAAAAAAAAAAAAAAAAAAAAAAAAAAAAAAAAAATAAAAAAAAAAAAAAAAAAAAAAAAAAAAAAAAAAAAAAAAAAAAAAAAGCTGTGTAAATAACTACTTAAAGATGAGATTATTCTCAGGTGTTGATAGGCCTTGTAGGAGTGAGCGAAGGGAGTGCCAAGAACCCAGAAGGAAGCTGAGCCTATTCGCGCAGGCCGATACTCCCAGTTTTTCAGAATGCTCAAGTTCAAGGGTGGCCTGGCTTAGACATCGAGTTCAAAGACAACCTGGGCAACTTAGAGATTCCCACCTCCACATTAAAAGTAACAAAGGTTAGGGGTATAGTTCAGAGGTAAGGCATGCATGAGGTTCTGAGTTCAATCCCTAGTACCAGAGGCAAAGGCATAGTGGTGGGGGAGATACCTGAAGAGGGACTAGGAAGTGGGCTGGTATGAGATGTCAGGGACATGATACTGATGTTGGATCCTGGAGAAGCAAGGGTCTCACAGGCAGAGCCACAGCAGGAGCTGGGACAGGGCCCAGGCTCCTGGCCTCCTGGGCAGTGGCCAGTGGAGCCTTGTGTAGGATATGGGCTGAGTTTGATTGAGATTATCTAGTGTCCCCTACAGGGCAGGGGCCTCCCCATCAGGTTAGCCCTTGACCTTTGCTCCAGAGGTGATGCTGGTTCTCACACCAGCATTGTATTTACTATTTCAGATGGCCCAGGCAAAGGACAAGCGTGAAACTTAGGGACACGTGGTAAAGAAAGAGATCAGGTAGGACAACAGTTTCTTGAGGCTTTCAAGTAGCAGAACCATCAAGGCTTGGTGACAGGTGGGCTTTAGAGACCAAGGGAGAGGAAGGAGGCATGGATGGCTTCAGCTAGGCAGGCCCTTGGAGGAATGGGACGGGTAGGGAAGTTCAGCTGTTGGAAAGAGGTACTAAAAGGGAAAGAGGGCCAGTGTTGGTGGCCTGAGTTTGGGAAATCACCAAATTAGGAGTCACCAAGAAACAGGATGCCTAGCACTTCACTCCAGACGGTTGAATTTTAGACCAATTCAGTGTGTTATAATAATGATTATTAGGCCACTGCAATATACTTGGCATAAAAGAGATTTGTTGTGGGATAGGAAGAAGGGGAGAGAAAAAGAGAGGGTGCCTGTGACAGAGAGAAGGAGAGAAACAGAGTGAGAGACAGACAGAAGGAAGAAGAGAAATTGAGAGAGAAATAGAGAGCAAGACAGAGAGACGTAGAGAGGGAGATGGGGAACGTGAGAGAGAAACAAACTGGTCCTTTTTATCTGGCACACCTGGTGGTGACGGCAGGTAATAACATCAGAGGTTGCTAAGGTCCCTGAAAGACAAGCTAGTGGAATCGCCTGTGAACTAAACACTATGTTCCCAGGCAGGGTGTGTCAAGAAATCAGAGGCCCTGGGCAGGCCCAGTGCAAGATGCTAAGTTACCCTCAGAGGTAACCTACCCCTACCCCTGGACACTTACTGCTGGACAGGGGAGGCAGGTATGGAACCAGACCTTCCCACTGGCCATGGTGAGAGGTATGACCAACATCTGTAGGAGGGAGAGAATGACAGCTGTGCTTAGGGCCAGGACACAAGGCCTCAGATTTCTAGTAACCCAGTTGTTCCAAGGCCCCAAAACCCATAGGTGATGGGGGTTGTTCTGGTACTATGCATCCAAATGCTAAACTACTGGCCCCCAAGATCTGATTGCTGCACAGGAGAACACATTCTCACATACACCAAATGATGTTGTGTAAACTTTGCTCTACCTAATTTAAAGTTAATTGGTTAATAAAGTTGCTGAAGCCTGTAGCTGGGCAGAAGAGAGGGAGGCGTAACTTCGGTTCCCAGGCTTGGGGTCTCAAGGACCACAAGGTCTGGAGGAGGAAGAGGGAAGGAGAAGATGTTGAAGCAGAAGAGGAAGCCAGGAGAAGGAAGTTGCCAAGGGGCAGTATGGGCCATGAGCACTAGCCATGAGGGCTGGATGGAAAAGAAGCAGCCCAGGCAGGAAAAATTATGGCAAGTAACTTGGGCTGTGTTAGCTGGGAAATAGCAAAATAGCTTAGAGGGTTGATACCTGCCCAGTTACGGTTCGCTAAAGCTTTCATTAATCGAAAAGGTCTCTGTCTCAATTATTTGGGAACTAGCTGGGTCAGAGAAGTCAGAGTCTAATATCCATTCCACAACACAAAGGGCTTTGAGTCCTGCTGGAAACTGGCTCCAGCCTGGTGTAGGACCGGGGTAGGACTGCTGGAGCTCCTTGGGGAAATGAGATTCCCCACCTAGTTCATGAAGCTTTGGGGTACGTGGGATGTGTGTACAAGGAGCCCTCAACAAACTGCCTAATTCCTAGGCACTCACTGTCTGAGATGCCACACCACACATGGAGACCTGAGATCCTTGTCTCTTGTAGCCAGGAGCTTGTTCCCTAGCAGCTGTCACTTTGATTAGGGTCCTGTGGGGCTAGAGGCTTCTATAGTGACAGGCAGTCACAGGCAGTCACAGAAGCCGAGACTCTCTTCTGCTCTCCTTCCTGGGGTATTTAGGAGGAGCTATAGAGGTAGGGGTGGTCCTTTCCTTCCTTGAACATCCTCCTTTGCTGAGGTCAGAGGCCTCCCTCCTTCCTCAGCCACACCCAGCTGCAGGAGTTCTCACAGCCAAGCCTAGGTACCCCCCCCCCACCCCCAAGGCTCTGTGTCTGCCACACAGGAGGCCCTTTTAGTCTGTAAGACTAGGTCTTGGGTTACCCTTTGCTCCCTTACCGTGCTGGGGGGGGGAGGGGGAATGGGCACTAGGAACCTGCAGCTGTGGGGCTGAAGCCAGTGGCCCTACTCACCACACACAATCACCACCCCAAACTACTTGAATTGATTCTTCAGCACCTACAGACAGACACAAAGGTGGAGGCACAGCTCCAATCCAGATGCTGAGGCAGCACAGGAGTTGGGACACCTGTGTGAGGAGCCGTGGCCTTCTGCTGCCCTATACTGAGCAACACTGTAGAGCCAAACTGCTCACAGAGCTCTTAGACACCCAGCAGGAAGGCCCAGACCCCCATGCACAGATGCTTAACCCTCACTCTACACACTGGACTACGGGGGCTCAGAGAAACTACCACACGCAAATCCAGATAGCTGGATATTTCAATCGCAGGTGTCTGACTCTCAATCCTATCTCACATGCCTACGCTGGCTGAAGAGAGCAGCCGGTATAACAGGACAGGCTGAGCCGGTCATGGTGGCATATACGTGTTATCCCAACTCTGGGGAGGCAAGATCAAGAGGACTACTAAGAGTGTAAGGCCTGGTATATGTAGAAAGTTGCAGGGTATGAAGGTCTATACAGCAAAACCCTGGAGAGAAAGAGGAGAGAGAGAGAGAGAGCCATAGTGTTTGAGGATGGAAAAGGAGATTGGCCTGAGAAGGTAGGCCCAGCAAGATGATTGATTATATTGTTCATGACCTCCCTTCACATCTCTGTTCTGTGTTATCTCAACCTAAAGTGAGTGTGTGTGTGTGTGGAGGGGGGGGGCTGAGCCCAGCCCAGTGGTCATGCACATCTTTAATCCCAGCACTCAGGAGGCAGAGGTGGGTGGATCGTTTAGTTTAAGGCCAGCCTGGTTTGCGTAGTGAGTTTTACCACGGCCAGAGCTACATAGTAAAACCTTGTTATAGAGAAAGAAAAGAAGGAAG